AAAATGCATGTAGGTACTCAAATGAAAGCTCTTGATGAGTGTAACATCTAGATGAGCTTATATCTTTAGAGACATCAATAGCTAAGAAAGTACAGTGCAATTTAACAAAAGTCATTATTTAAATAAAGCAAAATTTTATTTATTCATAGTTCACAAGTCACGGCAGTCACATAGTGACTAGGTCGCTATTTATTATTATTATTATTATTATTTTAATTAAATTCGCACTTAGAAGTTTTTTAAATTCCTACATGTGGAATATTTTTAATAATTTAATAATAATTAAAAAAAATTTTAGATGTCTCTCAATCCCAGTATCATAAATATCTAATATTAAATTTTTCAAATTAAATACCCGATTATATAATTCATTTATTAGTCACTAATATTTAATTCAAAAATAATCCCATTGTTATTTACTTTCCCACAATGTTATTATTAAAAATATTATTTATCAATTTAACAAAGTTAAAAAAATTACCCGGTAATTTAATAGAAATTTTTATATTTCATAAATAATTACTCCACTTTACTTTCTGAACTAAGATAATTATTTTTGTTGTTATAAATTATACAATCAGATGATTCATTTAAATAAATGTTGAGAAAAAAAAAAATTAAATTAAAAAAAAAAAAATAAGATATACTTTGCATTTAATTATTGAGACATGACACCATCGTAAATGAGTAATATAATAATAAAATTGAACTAATCAACATGTACATTCATTCAATAAAGTACCATTAATAAATTAATAACAGAGCATCCAAAAATAAACGGAATTTAAACGACACGATTCTGTTGGTAAAAAACTAAAATTCGTTAGTATTGGATAACTAGTTGTGGGTTTGAGGAGTGACAGGAATGATCAAGCGACGTGAGTCACTTAATTGTAATACGAGATTTATAAATTGCAGATTGTAGATTAAGTACAAAGAAAAAGTTAGTAATAAAAAGGTTATTTCATTAGAAGCACGTCTAGTGTAGAGGCGGAAAGGGAATTTGAGTTAATATTTGTAAAGCTTGAATTAAATGAGGAAGCAGATCTTTAACGCTGAGAAAAGTTAAGAGGCCAAATAATAATAGGTGTATATATGATTAAGCTCGAATAAAAGTGAATGTAAAATATGGAATAGGATAAAAATAGAAGCAGTAGCAATAACAACTTGAGTAATGCACTAGCAGAGTTATTTTGCTTTAATAATATTATTATAAAATTATTGTTTATAATAAAAGAATTCTATCATTCGTTAAAAGAAACGTAATGCACATGTTAATTTTCTGTTACTTACTACTGTCAACTGTTGTGGCAGCGCAACAAAAAAAAAAAACAGTAAGATTTATCGATGTTTTTTAGTTCCAAGTAGTATTATTCATTCCAAAAAATAAAATTGCTTGTGAGTTATGATTTATTAAAAGATTGCGGTGTTGTGAAATGTTAGCAAGTTTTTGTTTTTTTTTTGTTTTAACATACCAAGCAATTTTAATTCTCGGGGGGTTTACTTACGTGATAGGGTATTTATATTGTCGGCACTGCCAAATTTATTTTTTATCAAGTGCGCGAACTCCCTGGGTTTGGACATGACACTTCTGTAATATTATTTTTTATTAATGCTTGCTCATAAATAAAACAAAGAAAATAAAAATAATAAATGGTCATGGAAAGTTGAATTTTTATATATTTCACAAATATCATATATATAAAATATATGAAAAAAATTATGTGCGTATTCAAATGGAAAGTCTTGATGAATAGAGCGTCAGGATGAGCTTATATCGTTAAAAATTTCAACAGTGGACAAAATACAACGTCACTTCTTAATTCTTGATATTTTTTAAAATATAAGCTCATCCTGATGTTACACTCATCAAGACCTTTCATTTGAATACCCACATGAACTTTTCATATATTTTATATATTATATATATGTATATATGAAAAATATATCAAAATGCATGTGGGTACTCAAATGAAAGCTCTTGATGAGTATAACTCCAGGATGAGCTTATATCTTTAAAAATGTCAATAATTAAGAAATAGCATTGTATTTTGTCCACTGATGATATCTTCAACGATATAAGCTCATCCTGAAGCTATACTCATCGAGACCTTTCATTTAAATACCCACATGAATTTTTGATATATTTTATATATTTCACAAATATGAGAAATAATATATATATATATATATATATATATATATATATATATATAATATATATAAATATACGAAAAATTGATGTGGGTACTCAAATGAAAGGCCTCGATGA